ATCATTTCTTTGTCAGTGGGCAAACGTACAAAATCAGCAGGGGATCAAATACTTTTTTTTCCCTCACTGTACCGTGCTGCATCTACAGGGTGGCCCAAAAGCGAGGACACATAGGGTTATTATATTTATTTTTACGCATAACGCAGGGTTATTTCATGTATGTTCTGACTACCACTAACGTTAATGCATGCATGAATTGTCTTTGGAAATGAATTGTAAAACTGTTTTGTTAAGATTTCAGCTACCTTCTTTAGCATACGTAAACAAACAAAAAGCTAATTTATCTCATTTGTCTTGAGTGAACTTACTTTACATTTTTAAATGTCATCTGAAAAGGAAATGATGTGGATCGTACAATTTTTTTATTTTTATTACCAGGTAAGGCCCACTATCCTACGTAGTTTATTTTCAGAAGCGACCTGGCCACAAATGATAGCCCAACGAAGTCGTTCATCACGTGGCAATTTATAGCAGCCAAATAATCTAAACGCAAATTTCTCAATGTGGAGGGAAAACCCGGAGAAACCGTAAAAAAAATCCACGCGACCACGGGGAGAGAGACACGCAAACTCCACATATACAGCAGGCGTCAGGGTCGGAATCGATCCCACGACCTCCTGCACACCGGGCGAGGTAGTTAACATCTCGCCACCTCTGGTTATATCTGCGGCTAAGAGTCACGTGCCGACTTGCTCCACTATACCAGCGACCCGGATCATATTCAGTGCGAATACAAAAAAAAAACTCGACTTACATTTGTGCCAAATTTCAGCTCACAAAGTCCATCTAAGAACGTATTCTGAGCTTCCATCATAGTCACCAATCACCACAATGCTTTTTAAATACATACACGTGCAATGTTTGAAGTGAGTCTTTAACAGAGCTTACCTGTCATTCTCCTAGCGACGTGTTCGTTCGGAGGCAGATACTCTACGTCCCAAATATATTAATTTCGCTTAATTTTTCATGCTGGCAACTTACAGAGGAGTTGTAAAAAATAAAAACAACAACAGCAACCGCAGTAATTATTCTCAGGGTAACTCTTTCCAACCTCCGCAACGCCTATCACTTGTTTTTATTCGACTACCTACATCAGGATTTTCGCCAACGTGGAAAACCGAACTCAAACTTGGTCTTCCAACGCGTCCGGGGACTCCGCACTCTTAGCCGGTGCCCTCCGTGGTGTCAGAGTCGGGCAGAGCGAGATGCAGCCCTCCAAAAGTGTCGCGCAAAAACAAATGTACATATATATAAACAAATAAAATCAATTCAGCGGCGAGCGATGAGTCTCTCGCGGCCCGTGTTTGTGTTTGAGCAACGGAGGCGGTGGCTGTTCACCTCGATGTCCCGCGCGCCGCTCAGCATGCCCAGCCGTCACGCCACGGCTATCCCCGCACCGTGAGCGCAGGGGATGATGGGGGTGTCACGTTTCCCATTGCCCGGACCCAGCCTCGTGAGTCGAAACGCGAGCTCCCGTGGCGCGCGCGACACCCATCGGGGATGCCCGCGCCATGCCCCCTCCCCGCACCGCCCGCCCGCCCGCCCCGTTCCCACTCAAGGAAAGTTGCGCTCCGGGGTCTGTGGCCCCCGTCTGGTGGGGACCGCTGTGGCCGCACTGAGGCCACTCCACGCAGTGGCGAAGATTCGGTCAAATGACCCCCTAACGACAGACCCCCAATGCACGTGGGGGTTACGAATGAGACGACGTTGCGAGACTCCCTTCCCGGTGAGCATAGATGAGGTGTCCATACCCCCTGGCTCACCGGCTGAACGCGGTACAGCGAAGTGCGGACCGGTATCCGCTGTCCCTTGCATTACGGCATTGAGGGTTGTCCCCTCGCACGCGAGGGTTTGCTCCGGATGCACCGGTTTCTTCCCGCGTGTATAATGAACACTCACTGATTGACTGAAAACATCTTAATATGTAAAGAACTGCGGAGCAATTATTGGTAGCGTCTGCTCAGCCCTCCAGCCTGTGCCTGTAGTTCCTCCTAAGCGATTCCGAGATGCAAATTGCATGAAATACGCCGCTATTTACAAGTAATCGGTGTTTTGTTTTGTTAGATTAGTGGGGAGGTTTTTCATCCAGCGCTGAACTGAAAGAGCCGTTAAAAAAATCGCGCATTTGCCGTGACAAATGCGAGGAGTCGGTTTGATTTGTGATTAAGTGCCATCCGTAGGGTGTCATGTGACAAGGAAAACGGAACAAAAGCTGAAAACGTGCAAAGAGAAGCATGGATAGCTCTCTGCATGCTGGAAATTCCATCGAGAGAACAAAACAGAAACATGCAGATTGGTGAGCACGCGCTGGCTGAAAACACGATCCCGCGCCTCCAGTTAGCGCGGTTGGCTACGCACGGTGCGAAAGAAGCCGCGGAGAAAATTGAGTGAAGCTTGGGCAGGACGACACATCACGGCTCGAGCCTGGAGGGCCGGGAGGGCACGATGGCCGATGGTTACGAATAACAACGGAGTGGCAGACAGGGAAATGAGCTCATCCGAGAGCACGTGCACAGCGGAGATGGAGCGATGAAATCAACTGATTTGCGGAGACATTTATCCAGCAGTGGATTGACCATGGCTGTTGCTGCTCCTGATGATGATGATTGGGATGTGAAGTCAGATGTGCCAGAGCGTGACTGATTAGTTGTGTCATTTGTCAGCCTCGAAACCGCGACGCGGGGCTCCGGTGTCTGGCTTACTCATCAGCAGGCCCTATCGGGTTCACAGGTCGCGTGGAGGCGCTGCGATGTCACGCGAGGAGGTGTCGCGCGCCGTCAGTCAGGGCCACGGGACGCGTTACTGAACCCTCGTTAGAACGGGGAGTGGGGGGGGGGTTGGAGATCGGGTGACATAACGTGCACTGTGCACCATCGAGCGGGAGGGAGGGAGGGAGGGTGGGAGGGAGGGGATTAAAACAAACCATTGGGCCAAACATCCAAATGCAGGGCCCTCACCTGAGAACGAGCCTTGAGACTCAGTAAGGCTTTCCTAGACAAAAAATTATAAATATTATTAGTATTATAAAAAAATACATCTATGGCCATTTGTCGAAATTTGGCTGAGGAGGCATGAACTTTGTTTAATTGCAAAAATTAAAATTAATTTATTTGGCGAAGTAAATGGAATATAAAACAAAATAATCTGAAGAACGTTGAGAGAGATTACACTGAGAGACAAAGAGGAGCACGTGGAGTCGAGAGCACGCGCCGCTGGTGTTTGTGACGTAACGGCACGGGCTCCAAGAGACGTCACCACGGGGTCTCTGGGACAGGTAAAGGCGACACGGTGGGCCGAGTGTGTCACGAACGGTGGGACACACGAAAGGGAAATAACGCAGCCCGCGAGGACGCTCGCCGCGGAGATGGAGCGATGAACTCAATTGGCGTGCGGGAGCTCGAAGGATCGCGGCGACGGCTCGGTGAAGCAAATGAGTGGAGGCTCGGCGGAGGGAGATAATTGGGAAGATGCGTGTGTGTGTGTGTTGGCTTCGTTAGGCGTTGCTACACTGCCCCCTCGTGGCTTCGTGCAGCAAGTTGTTCTTCTTGCCCAGTCACAACCGAGGCCCTCTGCGATTTCGTTGCGGCTCGAAAGAGAGGGTGGTGCTCACCTGCCGTTAACAGGCCTGAGCTCGTTGTGGAATTTCCACATTCGTACGGCAGGGCCGAGGCTTTCCATAGGACAACCACACCGGACTTCCACACAAAGTGGAAATCATTGTATCGACCCTGGAGGGATGATGGGCTGTGTCAACCCCCAACCAGGATTTGAACAGGTGCCCTAGGAGTCGTAGTGACGTCGTCCATGTTTCGACGGAGTGCTCTAGCCAATAGCGTGTGCCAATCCAACAATTTATTTCACAAAGCTTGGTTCTACTGATGAGACCCGGAATGTCGAAACCGGTCCAGAGTTTGACTGAGTAAACAAATGCTGCTGGAAAACATCGGTCTGGCAGGCCAGAATGCTGATGCTGGAATGAAATGTGTATTTATTTGTTAAACTATAGCAGGCCGCATGTCCGATAGATGTTGCCGCCCGTCTGTCCTTCCCTCCAGCCGGCCATCCAGCCATCGAGTACGGTGTAGATTTGGAGACACAGATTTGAATTGTGCTCATATATGCTCCCAATATCTTTATTTTGTTTTTATCCAAAATCACATACAGTATACACTTACAACAGAAAATGCATTTTCATCCACGTTTAAAATGTTTCAAATTATTATAATTGTCATCATTATCTTTCTCACAATGAACACACACCGTGTGCATTAATCCTCGAAAAACCACGTGGGACAGAATGAGGATGGTAGCAAGCTGATGATGAGTTTGCGTGGAATGTTTAGTTTATGTAAATATAAATGCCTCTGTTGGGGAGGAATGTCACACACAGGGAGGGCCCTTTGAGGAAATCACCTTTGACAGTTGGAGGCCAACAACCTCTTCACAAAGATAAAGAGGCCCCGTATAGCCTTAAACATACTGTTGGGGCAAGTACCGTTTGCGAGCACCCTATGAAAGTCGGCGCACGAACGGGAGGTGCGGCCAACACCCCACGCCCGGCCCCCTTTGTCTCCCCAGTGCTGATGTTTAATGCACACCGCACCACCAGATGACTCGTTGTTAAGGCTGAGTCGACCTAGGGGGAGGGGGGTAGGCCCGGGACCGGTTCAAATATATTCGCAGCCACTGTTGTTGGTCGTGAATGGGAATCAATCGAACTCTGGTGGCCGGGTTCGTAGTGTAATGTGCTAACACACAACGCCACCGCTCCCTAAAAATACAAAGATCCCCAATATAGCCTTAACAGACTTTTGGGCCAAGTGCTGTTAGCGAGCACCTATGAAGGCCGACACGGCACAAGAGGGAGTGAGTGACTTGCACAACAACCGGCTGCCTTTGTCTCCCCAGTGCTGATGTTTACTACACATCGTACCAACTACTCATTGGACGCTGAGTCGACCTAGCGGAGGCCCAGGACCGGTTCAGATATTCATCACCGATGTTGGGCATGAGCGAGAATCGATCAAACTCGGGTCACCGGGTTCGTAGTGCAGTGCGCTAACCACTGCGCCACCGCTCCCCCCCACACACACACACAGCCGTGGACGCCGGCTCTCAAATCACACCCAATTATTGCACGGGGATTCATCTCGCATCCCTGTCTCCGCTCTCGCGCCCTGTTCAAGGGGAGCTAGATTGTGTTTTCCTTTGTCCACACACATGTTGACAAGGTCATGGGTCTCTATTGCTGTTGGTGCCGAAACAAAAACACAAACACAGTTTACCTAGATACGATGTCCAATCTAATCCCAGCAACCACCAGCGGGGATTGCTACATCGCAGGACCGCGTTAGGCATTAGCGTCGCTACGGAAAGGCCTCCATCCAGCAGTGGATAGATCATAGCTGAGGATGATTGCTATTATAGTATTTTAATAAGGCGCTCAGATTAGCAATGCAAATGTCAGAGCATTGTTGCTGTGTGCTACGGTATTATCGGTGTTTAAGGGGGAGCGATGTCGCAGTGGTTAGCGCACAGCGCTACGAAAGCGGCGAACCTAGTTCAATCTCCGGCCATGGCGAACATCAGTGGAGAGTTGATATCTGAACTGGGGGCGGTCGGATCCTCACCCCTGCCTCCACCCCCTGCCTTCATCAACCCGCACTGATCAGCATGGTGAGGTGTGGTCAAACGTTCATCCAACAGTGGAGTAACTATGGACTGTAAATCACGTTCAACTTCATGAGAATATTTGTATTGTACAAGCAGCCCCCACGTCTTTTGGACGTTACCTTCCGTCCCTCCCTCCAGCCAGACAGCCAGCCAGCAAAACTTTTGTTCCCGAAATTGTATGACGTCATATTTTGTTCTTGTCATTATATGTTCATATAGTGTGCTTAATTATATACTTGTAGCTAATAGATTCACTATTAATATGAATCAATAATAATTTGACAGTATCAGTAATTATATTAATCTGCGCAACTGATAAATAATATTCTCATTACAACGGAATTCATCAAACTTCCCAAATGCTGCAGGGAACACCGTATTTAGACCTTTTCTGGATAAATACATTACCGTATAAGAATAACAACACATCAATAGTAGTAGTAGTAGCAGTAATAATAACAATAATTTTAAATCAAATGCAATATTTCTCAAGTCAATAACCAATTCCTATTTGGTGCCTATAAACGGTGGCGTAGCTGTGGGTAGTGCGCAGGCGGTGCAACTGCACCCGGGGGGCACGGCGCTCCGAGGAGGCAGGGCGGGATTAGGCAGCAAGTGGGGAGTTGGGGCAGCCCCACTCGATTCCTTGCACCTGCACCCGTGCCCCGCGCCCACCACGCTAAGCCACCGTCTCTGAGGATGTCAAGGATGCAGGGCCGTCCATAGCGGGGTAGGGGGATGTGGGGCCCTTCGACGCCTTCAAACTCAACGGGGAGTATCACCTATCACACCGTGACGTCCAAGCGAGCCCGCCCCCCCCAGCTGCAAAGCGCGGGGCCCCGGTGCGGTCGCTCGCCGCGGGGACCCTCGGCACGGCTCTGCAAGCGACGGTTGCGGAGTCGTGAATACGCACGGACACGTTCACACGTTCACGGTACAGTCAAAGCCATTGAGCAAATACTCCCCGCGCGCCCAGAGACGCCCTCGACGCGCTCCACAGTGCCACCGTCAACCCAGCGTGTCTCGCGCTGCACACATCACGCCGTTTGTTTCGGGCCCCCCCCCCCGACACCCGGGTCATAGCAGCCCACCCACACGGTCCGCGTCTCCGCCACGTTCGTCGGCACACAAACGAAGACGTTACGCGCCGCATGCGCCTGATGATTGCTAAACGCGTCCCGAGTGCGCATACACGCGCGCGAGACATCTCGAGATTCAAACATTACAATTTGAAACATGGTCATCAGAGAATATCTCTTAAAATATCATTCTTATCAGGCACCCATGGTGTAGATAAGTGCAGTATATCGCGATTATTATCCACTCATCTCTGTGTGTTTTCCCGGAACGTCGCTTTTGACATTTAGTTTTATTTTAAGGCCACAGTGTTATTGACGATTGTGTTGAGCTTGTTCCAAGTTAACATAAATTGGCGTTCTTTGTGTCACGTGAAACATAGCACGTGCACAAGACAGTATTTAGCACGTAGGTTTTCGCAGCCAACGTTTCAAAATTAAATAGTATGTTGGGCCACGTGCTCTCCTAATTGCTATCCAATTGCTAAAGTTAGCCGCGACAAATTGTTTTTTTTTCAACTTGCCGGTGAGCTGACTCAATATTTGGCGCATTGAAACGCTTGTACGCGAGACAACGCGATTTATTTGGCTCTGTTGGGTAGTGGAGGGCTTCACCACAAACATTTAGGCCAGAATCAGCAAGTGGCTTAACGAAAACACAAATTGTGACTCGCACGCAAAAGTGTTTGCTTCCTGTGGGATGCAACAAGCACGCGCATTTAAATCCGGCTGTGTCAGCGCACACAGAATGCACCGTTTTAGCAATCATCAGGCTCGCGCAGCGTGTCACAACTTAATTCGTATTCGCCCCGGAAATTGGCGAGCACAGAAAGGCGAACTTGGCCATTGAGGGCTGGGGGAGACCCTGGAAACCGCGGGCATTCATTGTCGTATACGCAACAGCAGCAGCAGCAACAGCAGCAACAGTAGCAGCAGTAGCAGCAGTAGCTCGCTGTCCAAGTCGCGTCTATTCGGCGCGACTCGCTCACTTCAAGTAGAGTCAACAGTGACGTCGACGACGACGACACAATCCTGGAAGCAATCAATGTAGGTGTACGTATGTTTAACTTCTTTCGCACCGCACGTAGCCAACCGTGCTAAGCAGCGCAGGTGGTGGGGCTCTGACTCCCGGTTGAGAAGGGAATCTCACTCCACCACCACCACCTCCTCCTCCTCTTCGCCTTTCATGTCACGTGAGGCGTGCAGGTACAAATAACCGGGGGCAAGGGGGGGGGAGACCCAAAGTGTTCAGCCCGTGTGGTCAAATCGCCCGGAATGTGCTCCATCTCGCCAGTCCTAGGAAAGAGATGAGCGGGGTGGAGCCCACATCGTGCTTGGATGGGCGACTGCTGTGCCATACACAGGTGTTATAGGTTGCAGACAGGGCGACGTTGCCAGCAGAGGGCAGTGCAGCAGCGTGCATTGCTGTACTGTACTATTCTCGAACCTCTATGCTCCCCACCTTCATTAACCGGTGGTGATCAGCGTGATGAAGTTTGGCTAAATAACCCCCAGGTCTCTATGTAAGTCTATGGGTATCTATATAAGTCTATGGGACTGTATATATGGGTCTGTATGTGGGAAAGCACTTATGATGAAGCCACTGCCAGTATATTCCATTGTCTCAGTGGACCTCAATGTGAATCTATGGGTTTCTCCGCGAGTCTGTGGGTTTCTCCGTGAGTCTATGGGTCTGTGAGCGAGTCTATGGGTCTCTATGTGAGAGAGTCTATGGGTCTCTATGTGAGAGAGTCTATGGGTCTCTATGTGAGAGAGTCTATGGGTCTCTATGTGAGAGAGTGCTTATGATGAAGCCACTGCCAGCATATTAGAGTGGCGACTCGATGAATTCACCTGCACGCTGAGGATAAAAATACCGAGATGGACTTTGTCGCCTCCTCAATATGCAGCCACTGACAGACGATATTTCCCTAGTGTGTCACGGCCTTTAATGTGGGGTGGAACCAGGCAGATACAACTTGGAAGTTCTAAAGCTGATCTGAGAAACAGCTGTCTCAGCTGTGCTGACAATGAGAAGATGTTGCCCTGGATGCAGAGACAAGGATAGATACACCGATAGAGGCATGGAAATATGTGCAGAGATAGACGCGGAGACACAGACATAGCAATTAATAAAGAGAGAGGGACACAGCAATAGAGATGCAGAGAGACAGAAACAGAGGAGACACACACACAGATGGCGGATACATTCACGCCCAGCAAGAAGGACACATATACATGGAGATATACAGCGATATTGAGAGACAGATACAAAGATAAAGAGACACAGCAAGACAGACACAATCACAGCACCGATACAGGGAGACAGAAAGAGAGATCTGGCTGATGCCATCGACTCACTACACACTTTAGTCACCGTCAATCAGCGGAAGCCAAGATTCAAATCCAGGATCTCAGCAGCACCGGCTCAGTGATTTGACCCCTTGAGCTATCCGGCCGCATCTCTTTCTGACCTCTTGATTAACGACTCCTATTGTTACACCGCTCTCTCCGATTGTTTCAAACGCCTGTAACACACACACACACCATGGGCACAGTTGATCTGCGTCAACGTTGAGCTGCCGAGGTCAAACGTCCTCCCAAGATTCTAACAACACATTCAGCAGGTTCCCGCACCAGTGATCATTTCTCCGGGGTGGCAGGGGAGGTAGGGGGGAGTGTAGGGGGCCGTGTCCCCCTTAGCAACACCAGTGTCGTCGTCCCCCCAACTCGCATGTACCCCCGCTTAGATGCAGCTTCATTGAGTGGCTGTAAAGACACTCAAGATCAATTGAAGAGTTAATGCGGCTGATGCCATCGCACCTCGCCGCCACTTTCTGCCTCCTTCAAGATCATTGCGGCCGTTGAGGAGTTGATGCCTCATGGCCTCCAAAGTAGGCTCTTGACGGTCTCATCCCACTCGCGGAGTTTTACATTGAGGCTGTGGGAATGTGCACCCCTCCACAATATCACGTGGTGCTCAAGACTCTCCGCTGTCCCAGACATCCACACACACAACAGCACTCGCGATTTGATCCACCGCATTAATCGTCACCTTATTGCTGAACGGTTGTCCGAGCTACTCGTCTTTACCAGTCCTGCACGAGCAGATGATCTCACAGCCGCTAGTACAGCGGGTCAATCCACCCCTCAGCTTTTGCTCAGTTGCTGGATTATCCTCTGACTCTGCCGGTTTATCATCGGACGCCACGAGGTCCAAATTCCCGCCATTGCTGTCGCCCGACAAGGTCTCGTCCTCTCCCGTCTCCGTGTCTCCAGTGGGGGCTTTGACGTCCCCACCTCTACCAGCCTCTTCCCTGGACCGCTGCTCGCGCTCGCGACAAGATCCCTGGTGAACCACTGCTTCCTCCGTCGAAACTCCACACTGGAGCTCTCCACCGCGATTGTCCACTCCGCCGTGGGTCTCGGCGCCGCCGTGAGGTCCCTCCTCTCTCTTGCCTCCCATTTCTGCCTCCTCCGTCGGGGAAGATTCATTCTGCTGCTCCGACCAGCTCAGGACCCGCTTGCTCAGCTGCTTCCAGAGCCGAGGCTTTTTATTGCCGTCGGCTTCACCGTCGCCTTGCCCATTTCCAGAAGCCGCGTTGCTCTTCTCGGTTCCTCCTTCGCGACCGTCGCCCACCTCGTTGCGAGGACGCCCTTGGCCGTCGAGATCCTCGGCTGTTGATCCGCTGCTGCGCTTCGTGCCATCCTCTGGGCCCGCGTCGCCGACGTCGTTGTCGCTGGGCCCCGTTCGAGACGCGCCGCGCACATCGGTGTTCTCGTCCGCTTGCAAAGTGTCACCAGGTTCAACCGCATCCCCCAGATCATTTTGCTGAGCCTCAGCCGCTTGCTGCGACACCTCAGACTTAACCACGCATCCATCCGATTCTTCGTCTGCTCTGGCGTGGTCTCCATCGTCCGGATGTGCATCACCAGGCTCGGTGTTCTCTTCCGCTGCCTCGTTCCTGACGATTCCTCTCAAAACATCCCCGGATTTGTCCGCCGGTGTTTTATCTTGCGCTGATTCGACCTTCTCTGCAGCAGCTTCGATTTCCTTTGTGTCGACATCACCCTGGACCTTGGCCTGTTTGTCAGGGTCAGGTTTCTGATCTCCTCGTTCATCCATCGCCGCTTCTCCGTTTTGATGTTCGTTGAAACTCAGCACTCGCTGGCTCAACTTTTTCCACAACTTGGGTGGCTTCTTTTCATCTCTCTCCAACTCCTCGCTATTAGGCTCGGTCTCAGGATTCCGATCTTCCCTCTGTTCTTGTTCCGCAGTTCCTTCGTGGTCACCTGGTCCGTTACATGGAGACTCATCATGGGTGTCTAGCCCTACCTCTGCTGGAGACTCATCCTTATTTATTTCATCGGCCAATTCCAAGGCCTCCACATGCTCATCAACGCTGTCCTGGACACTATTGAGTCCTTCTTGCTGTTGTTGAAAAAGAGTGTCTGTCGCACACCCTGCAGCTTCACCTTCGACTTTGTTCTCGTCTTCTTGTGCTGCCACCAAATCTTCAGCATGCGCCTTGCTGGTCACTCCATTTTCAATATTTGCCACTGCCTCAATAGGATCTTTATCTTGAAACCCATTGTCTGCCTGCGGGGCTTCTTCTCCTGGCCACTGGACACCATGAGCTTGATGCTTAATATCACCATCCATTGCTTTGTCTGAAATAGTATTTTCATGTTTCTCTGCTGAAGTTTCATCCTGGGCCTCCACTTCCGCTGATGGAGCTTCACACTGGACCTCTGTTTCCTCTGTTTCAACTCCACTCTGAGACTTTATTTCATCTGATGGAGCTCCATCCCGGACCTCTGCTTCTTCAACTGGAGCTCCATCTTGTGCCTCTGCTTCCTCTGATGAAGCTCTGTCCTGGGCCTCTGCTTTTTTTGATGAAGCCCTATCCTTGTCCTCTGCTTCCGCTGATGGAGCTCCACTCTGAGCCTCTGCTTCTTCTGTTGGAGCTCCATCCTGGACCTCGAATGTATCAGTTGGAACCCCATGCTTGGCCTTTGCTTCCTCTACTCGTGCTTTGTCATGGGTCTCAGTTTCCTCTGTTGGAGGTCCACTCTGGGCCTCTGATGCCTCAGTTGGAGCTCCATCCTGTGTATCTGCTTCCTCTCCTAGAGCTCCATCCTGTGCCTCAGCTTCTTCTATTGGAGCTCCACCTTGGGCATCTGCTTCTTCTACTGCATCTCCATCCTGGGCCTCTGCTTCTTCTACTGCAGCTCCATCGTGGGCCTCTGCTTCCTCTACTGCAGCTCCATCCTGGGCCTCTGCTTCCTCGACTGGAGCTCCATCCTGTCGCTCTGCTTCTTCTACTACAGCTCCATCCTGGACCTCTGCTTCTTCTACTGCAGCTCCATCCTGGGCCACTGCTTGCTCTACTGCAGCTCCATCCTGGGCCTCTGCTTCCTCGACTGGGGCTCCATCCTGTGTCTTTGCTTCTTCTACTGCAGCTCCATCCTGGGCCTCTGCTTCCTCTACTGCAGCTCCATCCTGGACCTCTGCTTCTTCTTCTGCAGCTCTATCCTGGGCCTCTGCTTCCTCGACTGGAGCTCCATCCTGTGCCTCTGCTTCTTCTGCAGCTCTATCCTGGGCCTCTGCTTTCTCCACTGCAGCTCCATCCTGGGCCTCTGCTTCTTCTGCTACAGCTCCATCCTGGGCCTCTGCTTCTTCTACTACAGCTCCATCCTGGGCCTCTGCTTCCTCTAATAAATTATTTTCGACCTCTGCTTTTCCCTCTGGACCTCCATCTTGAACCTGTGCTTCCTGTGAAGGAGCTCTGTCCTCAGCCTCTGCCGGAGCTCCATCCTGGGCCTTTGTGTCCTTTAGATCTGCGTCTGTGACTCCTAATCCTCCTACATCCATGACATCTGATGTCTCCGCTGGAGCTTCTCGCTCATCTCCTGGTGTCCGCTGAGACACTTCACCTTCGTTGGTCACATCGTTCATTCCTTTGGTCGCTGGAGAGTCGTCTTCAGTGGCAACAGTGGCTACCTCCCGACCGCGAGTGGACGTTTCCGCTTCCCATTCAGAGGCAATGTCTTCGGCGTCCGAATTTTTCACTGCCGCTTCGTGGTCCCCACTTTCCTCGACATTGTCATCGGCTTCAGCGTCGGTCTTTCCGTCTGGTCCAATCGCATCTGCGACAAACAAACAAAAATGAATGCGCACGGTGAAAATGTTCCCAAGCGTGTGGCACAAGGGTGGGTGGGGGGGGGGGGGGGGATTCTGCAGCACCAGCCAGAGGGTGAGCATTCGTCCGCCAGCAGGAGGCGATGTTGCAGTGCACGGCCTTCCCGGTTCAGGAATTTGCCAGGGTAAAGTGCGGGGACTCCCACTTCTTCCAAGATTATCTGAACGAGCGTTGATGAGTAGGTAAAACACCTTCTACGGAGGGTCCTTCTGGAGCTCAATCGAATGGAGTTTCCCTCTGCCCACAAGTGGCATGAGCGAGCAATTGCAGGGCTGCACCTTTACCCTTCATAAACATCTAATCTGGTAAATTTAAACCCCCGTAACTCGGGCACACGATGGCCGGAATTTTTTCCAAACTACATCGCGGGGTCTTTTAACGTTTGTCATGAAGCAGACAGAGCACAACATTGCACGATCAATACCTACCGCAGGATTAAACTCAAATAAAACCAAACTAAACAATTTTATTTTATTTTACCAGGTAAGGCCCACTGAGCTATATAATTTATTTTTCAGAAGTGACCTGGCCACAAATGATAGTCCAACGAAATGGCTCACTCATCGCGTGGAAATTTATTGCAGGCCAAATACTCTAAACGCATGTTGATGCTAAATGTGGAGGGGGAAACTGGAGGAGCACCCGGACACAAATCCACACGACCACGGAGAGAGCATGCAAACTCCAAATATACAACAGCAGGCGTCAGGGTTGGGAACGAACCCACGACCTCCTGTATACCAGGCAAGGTAGTCAACATCTCGAACTGGGGCAGACGCCACCCTCGAACCACGAAGCTCAAATCCGCCCCCCAAATTTTACCGTTATGACTGCCACCGCTGTCCAGTATGGCCGCCACCGGCGTCACCGCCGAATCCTCATCCTCGGAGTTCGAAGAGTCGCTGCTCAGCTCCGGCTCGGAGGCGGCCCGCCGCTCGGTGTGGCTCAGCGCCGCCGAGATGCGGCGAGCCACGCTTGTGAGGGCTCCTGCAGGTCAGGGGGGGGGGGTCGCAGAGGTTGCAGGGGTCGGCCGCAGAAGGAGGTTACGCATAATTACTTCTGAGATCCGTGTGTTTATGTTTGTGTGTGTGTGGGGTGTGGTAGTGCAGCGGTGAGTGCTGCAATGCTCCGAGTTCGATTCCTGTTCACGGCCAATAACAGTGCCGAATATTTTAACCAGTCCTGGGCCTCCTCTGTCGTCTCAGCCTTATGTGACTTAGTAGTGTGGTGTGTAAACATCACCACTACGGAGAAAACAGCGGTCGGTTGTTGTGCATGCCACCCACTCCCTCTTGTGCCATGTCAGCCTCCATAGGTGCTCGCTAACAGCACTTACTCCAATAGTCTATAAACTTTTCCTGCCAAGCCCACCCCCGTTGCTTAACATTTAATATGGTGGATAGGCAAACGTTCAGCCCTGAAACAGCTCGCTCACGTCACCGCTGGCTGAAGGTCCTCCACGAGACGAATATGGATTGTTTGAGCGTACTTCGCCAGTGCAGGCTGACAAAGGGGGAAACCCAGCAGCTGTTCGGACCTCGCCCGCTATTGCTGATGACCCCTGAAATGGAAGCCGTTTTCCGCTTTCCATCTCCCACATTGTCTGCGGAATCTGACCGACGGTTCTCACCGCTGCTCGCATCGTCTCCAACTACCACCGCCGCCGCTGCAGGGATGCTCCCGTCACCATCGCCTATTGCTTCGTCCCATTCCTCCTCTTCATCCTGTCCCGCCGCCGCGTCAACCTCCGTCGCGTCGCTGCCGTGTCCCGATTCTTCATCGGAAGCGACGGTCCCTCGCCCCTCCCTGCCGACGTTTTCTTCGGAACGAGCGGAGTGGGAGCTCCCCCCCCGGGTCGTGACGTCGCCTTCATCGTCTCGCTCCTCCTCTTCCATGTAGCTGCACAGCGGTGATGGTGTCTCTCTGTCCCAGTCGTCGTCCGGTATCTCTCCTTGCTTCTCCTCATCCGACTCCTCCTCATTGTTCCTCTTCTCATCTGCTTCCTCCTCATCCTCTCCGACATTTTCACTGCTGTGCGCCGGAGAGCTCCTCACGTTCGTCTCTGCGGTACAACAGCAGACAGCAGTGATGTAACTGAATTGAGCCCGAGCGGTGGTGACTATGCACGTGGCCTGTGATCGAGCACTTTAGAGGTGAGGCCGGGTGGATGGGTGGGTGGCTCGGTGAGTGGGTGGATGGCTTGGTGGGTCGGTGGCTTGTTGGATGGGTGGGTGGGTGGCTTGGTAGGTGGGTGGGTGGCTTAAGTGGGTGGGTGGTTTGGTGTGTGGGTGGCTTTGTGGATGGCTGGGACTGCAATTCACCAACACAAGGCAAGTGAACTGCTGAACGGAATGTCCTACAGTTGATCCATGTGACCAGATCGAGAGCGTAGGGAAGCCTCTGAGAAGCAGCCGAGACCCGGTGCACGTTCCTGGGCCATCGGTCCGCAGGCCCACAGGGGCCCGACCGGCCACACGCGATCGTTGGGCCCCTTGGCCCGTCCGCTAGCGCCATCCCCGACCCCGTGCCATCATCGCCGAGCCGCTCACCGCGATTGGCACTGCCCACAGTCGCGGAGCCCCCCTCCACGTCGGAGCCGCAATCGGATTCCTCGGTAACTTCTCCGGCACCGTCGTCGAAACCTCGCGGCTCGTCGTCCGTCTCGACAACGCCGCCTTCGCCGCCGGATCCCGGGCATTTCTCCACCACCTCGCCCGTGTCCTCCTCCTTCACCTTCTGCTGCCGCTCCTCCATCTCCTCTTCGAGCTCCTCCTCCTCCTCTTCAAAATCCTCCATGTATTCATTCGGTGCTGATCGGAAGAAAGGATTTGAGGTCGGGGAAAACACTATAAGACGGGCGGATAACAGGGCTCAGTTTCCCGTGTCGTTGGTAGGCTGGAGTAGGTGTTAGGTGACTCTTGGCCCCAGCCCCCTAGCGTGAGGTATACGGAATGTGGTGTGCCAGAACAAAAATAATATTCCAGGTCGCCGACACGGTTGTGATCAAGCTCTGGGTAGTGAGGTAGTCAGTATGTATTAAAAACAAAGATTTATCAATAAGTAACTATGATCGCGATCAAAATACACTTTTGTCATCATGAGCCATGATCTTATCCACTGCTGGATGAAGGCCTCCCATCTCCAATGCCATCATCCCTCACGGTTTGGGCTGATGGGTCTAAATAGTTTTCATTTCAATAACGATAACGAGGATGGTAGCCCGGGACACTTAACTCGGTTGGTATCGGGTATTTGATATAGAAATTGTGTATAATTGTTGGGTTGAATTATAGCAGCATGATTCGTGTGACGGCTTGGAAGAGGCCTTCATCCAACAGTGGATACATCAGAGCTGATAATGATGATGAGAATGAGTGTCAACAATCATGATTAATGTGGATCGGCCAGGAGTAAAGTTTAACCCAACAGTGGACAGATCACGGCTAACGACGAAGACGCCGAGTGTCTACGATGTTCACGATAACGAGTGTGACGGCTTAGGCGGAGGGGGGGGGGACGTCATCCAATCCAGCAGCGGAGTTAGATCGTAGCTGCTGACGATGATGGTTACGGTGAACGTGACAACATGGGGAGGCTTTCTTCCCGTAGTGAGTGGATGGTCGCGATGATGAGTGCCTCGATGGGCATCAGAGGCACCTGTTTTTCCACTGCTTGCCGTGGCTTCGTCTCTGTCACCGTCGCCATCATCATCGTCGACGTCAACGTCCTCGTCTTCCTCCTCCTCGTCGCTCTCCTCCGTCGACGAGTGCTGCTGCTGCGGCTGCTCGACGCTCTCCCTCCGCGGGGGCTCCGTGCGCGCCGCTTGCTCGCGATCGCCCCCCTTGCGCTTGGCCGGCGGGAAGGGCTGGATGTCCAGCCCCTGAGCGATGATGCACCTGGCCACGAGGTGGCATCACAGGGACAATAAATAAATAAATGCGGTCAGCGATTTTTACGACGTCGTAAATCGAGGCCCTATTTTCGTCATAGACAACGGTAGAAACGTCACTTGCCGGTGGTTTCCTTTTACCGGCGATATTTATCAGGATTTAATAAGTTAATAAAATCTACAGAAAATCGAGAATAACAAAACCTCCACGCCGAGTGACATCGGAAACCGGACCGGAGTCGTGTCGGAAGATACGTCGTAAGTCGAGAATCTGCGTCTTAAATCGATCCGTGGTGGCATTATATAACTGTCGTAAATTTGGACCGTCGTAAACCAGAGCCAGCTCATCTTTCGAAAGAGGCTTTGTACAACAGAGACACCCGTCACATATGAATTTGCGCTGAAACCATTTTAAAATTTTACATAGAAAACAGTGCAAGAGCCTCCTGAAAACGGGTCTTACGGCTGAGTGTCGCTCTCTCCTGGTTAAATAAGTAGGAATGGTGGAACTACATCGGATAGCTATGCGCAGAGACGGACGGAGCTCGCACTCCTAGAGGTAGTTGAGACTCGCTTGCCCAGGAGAGCCAGACAGACTCGCCAGAGCCAGGGGCACACGGAGGTGGGGGTTTGCTGTGGATGTCCTGGCTGCTGGCTCGTGTCCACTGGCAAAAGCAAAATCCCTAATTTCGATCGGATCATTGGGGTTTATTAGTAATAAATTCGGCATTTTGCGACCCACACTGCCACTGTGTAGCATATTATTACGTGCCAGGGACTCTATGAGATGATAGGACAATAGTCTGAGTCCATAATTGGCAATAAGTAACGGCAAAGCAGTTGTTATAAGTGACAAAGAATTGTTCACAGTTGCGTTTACAGCACACGACTTCCCTGAAGGCATTCACCTTCAGCGAGCGCGATGCCAATCACACAACGCGGTTCGAATTCGACCCTCGATCGATCGCTGCGCCATCGCTGCACACGCGTCGAATAAAAAGCAAGGGACAAGTCTTTACTAACAACTCCTTACTTACTAACAACTCCTTACTTACTAACAACTCCTTACTTACTAACAACTCCTTACTAACAACTCATTACTTACTAACAACTCCTTACTTACTAACAACTCCTTACTAACAACTCCTTACTTACTAACAACTCCTTACTTACTAACAACTCCTTACTTACTGACAACTCCTTACTTACTAACAACTCCTTACTTACTAACAACTCCTTACTTACCAACAACTCCTTACTAACAACTCCTTACTTACTAACAACTCCTTACTTACTAACAACTCCTTACTAACAACTCCTTACTTACTAACAACTCCTTACTTACTAACAACTCCTTACTAACAACTCCTTACTAACAACTCTTTACTTACTAACAACTCCTTACTTACTAACAACTCTTTACTTACTAACAACTCCTTACTCACTAACAACTCCTTACTCACTAACAACTCCTTACTTACTAACAACTCCTTACTCACTAACAACTCCTTACTCACAACTCCTTACTCACTAACAACTCCTTACTTACTAACAACTCCTTACTTACTAACAACTCCTTACTAACAACTCCTTACTCACTAACAACTCCTTGCTTACTAACAACTCCTTACTTACTAACAACTCCTTACTGACTAACAACTCCTTACTTACTAACAACTCCTTACTTACTAACAACTCCTTACTAACAACTCCTTACTCACTAACAACTCCTTACTTACTAACAACTCTTTACTTACTAACAACTCCTTACTAACAACTCCTTACTCACTAACAACTCCTTACTTACTAACAACTCCTTACTCACTAACAACTCCTTACTAACAACTCCTTACTTACTAACAACTCCTTACTAACAACTCTTTACTTACTAACAACTCCTTACTTACTAACAACTCTTTACTTACTAACAACTCTTTACTTACTAACAACTCCTTACTTACTAACAACTCCTTACTTACTAACAACTCCTTACTAACTAACAACTCCTTACTTACTAACAACTCCTTACTAACAACTCCTTACTAACAACTCCTTACTTACTAACAACTCCTTACTTACTAACAACTCCTTACTAACAACTCCTTACTTACTAACAACTCCTTACTTACTAACAACTCCTTACTTACTAACAACTCCTTACTAACAAGTCCTTACTAACTAACAACTCCTTACTTACTAACAACTCCCTACTTACTAACAACTCCTTACTAACTAACAACTCCTTACTTACTAACAACTCCTTACTAACAACTCCTTACTAACAACTCCTTACTTACTAACAACTCCTTACTTACTAACAACTCCTTACTCACTAACAACTCCTTACTTACTAACAACTCCTTACTAACAACTCCTTACTAACAACTCCTTACTTACTAACAACTCCTTACTTACTAACAACTCCTCTATCATCTTTCATTGCTGGAGGGGTTGCCCCCCCTACCTGAAAATCCTGGCTCCGCCATTGCTCGTGCCAATAGTTTGGTGCCGGCCTTCGTCACATGGCTACGTTCAAGGGAACCGATACAGCCACCACATTGCTGGCAGGGTTAAAGCTGTCAGCCCCTCCCTCCCTACTTCAGGCCCCGCCCACGTTCACAAAGCCACACCCACTCGACCACTAGCCCCGTCCAGGCAGTGAAAGTGGTGGCCTCGCTGCTCTCTCTGACCTGGACCCTCGCCCGGGTTAAGCCCACGGCGCCGGACAACCGCAGTTGGTGGCCGCTGATTGTCACCCCCCCCCCCCCCCGTGCGACCCCCTCCCCCCAGGCAATCACCGGTAGCAGGGTGCGGCGCCCTGCACGCCCGTGAGGCTGAAGTGCGACAGGCGCCCGCTGAGTCGGCCGCCCTGCCAGTGGCGGAACTCGCAGCACCAGCTGAGTCGGCCGACCAGCAGGCTGTCTACGTAGAGCGACAGGCTGAAGGGGAACCCGCCGAGCCGACGCGACCGGAACCGAAACGCCTCTGCGGGGGTGGACAGGAGACGATTGGCATTAATCAGGGTGGTGGCAAAGGTGGCGAGATGTTAACTCACTCGCCTGGTATGCAAGGAGGTCGTCGGTTCGATCCCGACCCTGGCGCCTGCTGTATATTTGGAGCGTGCAAATCTCTCGCTTGGATTTTTCTGTGGGACCGCCAGGTTTTCCCCCCACATTTAGAATCAACATCACGCGTTTGTCTGCAATACATTTCCACGAGATGATAAACCCCTTTATTTGAGCTATCATTTGCGGCCATGTTCGCTTCGAACAAAAAGAGCTATATAGCCTTACCTGGTAATATAACATTGTATTACATTTTCTTAAATATCTATGTCTAGTCTCGCCATTACCTCCTCTCCTAAGGCGACCGTGGAACACGCAGAGGCTCTCCCCGCCGCAGTGCTGCTGCATCACCCGCACCTCGTCGCCGAGCACCTGGTCTCGCGACGGGCGCCCGCGCTTGCCCAGGTAGAGCATGGAGACCTCTGCGGCGGCGGCGGTGGCCGCGCCGCCGCGGGGCTGGGGCGGGCGAGGGACCAGCGTCCGCAACCGCGGCTGGGAGCCAGAGCCAACCTGCGGAGGGGGGGGGGGAGTGTTTGTGTGTGTGTCTACGTTGAACTTCTTTCGCACCGTACGTAGACAAGCGTGCTCATCGGAGGTGCGGAGGGGGAGGATAACAAGCTAATCACAAAAAGCAGTTTGAAATAAATTCGTTTTCTGATACAGTATGTATTAATCTTGGATATATTTATTGGGAAAAATTGAATTTCTTCAAGTTCCACTGTCCAAATCAATAGCTGGTCGTTGACCTATCGTATTTTGAAAGTGTTACCACATTGCCTGCTTTCCCATTTACGAGGAGCGGGGAAGGCAACAGCAGCCGCGCGGTGACCCCGTGTCAAAAACCCCTTACCCCAAGCTCTGTGGTCCTCTGCATATTCAGATGTCGTCAGCCAATTTGAGAACATTAACAGCAGGCCGATGCACACACCTCCTTCATTAATTGATCAGTAAAGCCACGGGCCACAGTGATGCGACCGTGGCCATGCAAACCACGTACGCCACGGCCCATATAGTAAACTCATAGAGACAAACGGACATGCATAGACACGAATGGGGATACAGTGAGGGAAAAAATGTATTTGATCCCCTGCTGATTTTGTACGTTTGCCCACTGATAAAAAAATGATCAGACTATAATTTTAATGGTAGGTTTATTTGAACAGTGAGAAACAGAATAACAACAAAAAAATCCAGAAAAACGCATGTCAAAAATGTTATAAATTGATTTGCATTTTTATGAGGGAAATAAGTATTTGACCCCTTCTCAATCAGAAAGATTTCTCGCTCCCTGGTGTCTTTTATACAAGTAACGAGCTGAGATTAGGAGTGCTCCTAATCTCAGCTTGTTACCTGTATAAAAGACACCTGTCCACAGAAGCAATCAATCAATCAGATTCCAAACTCTCCACCATGGTCAAGACAAAAGAGCTCTCCAAGGATGTCAGGGACAAGATTGTAGACCTACACAAGGCTGGAATGGGCTACAAGACCATTTCCAAGCAGCTTGGTGAGAAGGTGACAAGAGTTGGTGTGATTATTCGCCGTGAAGGACTGAAATCCTGCAGCGCCCGCAAGATCCCCCTGCTCAAGAAAACACATATACATGCCCGTCTGAAGTTTGCCAATGAACATCTGAATGATTCAGAGGACAACTGGGTGAAAGTGTTGTGGTCAGCTGATACCAAAATGGAGCTCTTCGTCATCAACTCAACTCGCCGTGTTTGGAGGAAGAGGAATGCTGCCTATGACCCCAAGAACACCATCCCCACCATCAAACATGGAGGTGGAAACATTATGCTTTGGGGGTGTTTTTCTGCTACGGGGACAGGACAACTTCACCGCATCAAAGGGACGATGGACGGGGCCATGTACCGTCAAATCTTGGGTGAGAACCTCCTTCCCTCAGCCAGGGCATTGAAAATGGGTCGTGAATGGGTATTCCAGCATGACAATGACCCAAAACACACGGCCAAGGCAACAAAGGAGTGGCTCAAGAAGAAGCACATTAAGGTCCTGGAGTGGCCTAGCCAGTCGCCCGACCTTAATCCCATAGAAAATCTGTGGAGGGAGCTGAAGGTTCGAGTTGCCAAACGTCAGCCTCGAAACCTTAATGACTTGGAGAAGATCTGCAAAGAGGAGTTGGACAAAATCCCTCCTGAGATGTGTGCAAACCTGGTAGCCAACTACAAGAAACGTCTGACCTCTGTGATTGCCAACAAGGGTTTTGCCACCAAGTACTAAGTCATGTTTTGCAGAGGGGTCAAATACTTATTTCCCTCATTAAAATGCAAATCAATTTATAACATTTTTGACATGCTTTTTTCTGGATTTTGTTGTTATTCTGTCTCTCACTGTTCAAATAAACCTACCATTAAAATGATAGACTGATCATTTCTTTGTCAGTGGGAAAACGTACAAAATCAGCAGGGGATCAAATACTTTTTTACCCCTCACTGTACATAGAGGCCCATAGAGATGCAGTACATCCACAAGCCACAGGCGTGCGATTGTGGTCGTGTTTCCCAGACTCTGCACCACAGGAGCAACAGCAAGCTCTCTCTGCTGCAGTGCGAAGTGGTTGTTACCCGCAGCAGCCTATCAAAAGGCTGCTTAACCCAGCCCTCCCACCCACCCACGCCCCCTTACTGACTCCTCCCCCCTCCCTTAACCTGTATATAATCCCGGTTGTCTCTGAACTGTGCTCCTGACACAGATATTCTGCGTTGACTTATCCACCTGAAGACGGAAGCTTGTGTTGCCTCCGAAATGTCGTGATTTAATTATTTTTATTTTATCTATGTGACTTTACCGAATAAAACCAAAGAGTATGCTGAAGCACTCTCGTCGTGGCCAGCAGCGGCAGGACCCCTCGACATTGCCATCGACCCCCTAAAACAATATTGCCGCCCTACGCAGGAATAGCATAGAATCGGCCAATCACTGACTGTTTATTAAACAAGTGGGAGGGAAAGCCGGAGCACCCGGAGAAGACCCGCGCCTTGCGCGAGGGCACAATGCTCTATCCCATGCAGACGGGACAGATGATTCATGATGAAGGTTTTTGGGTTGGATCGCGTAAGTATAAATGTGTCGTAACCCCTCCACCACCCGACACAGCCAATAAGGTTTGTCACGTAAACAACGTGCCAATTAGTTGTTACTTCAGGCCACCGGTGTGTTGGAGAGTAAATCCCCGACATTTACAATTTGAGTCGTACGACGTTTCACTCGTAATTACATCCAGCATCATCGGGCGTTTTACCAGAATAGTGAAGCCATCCACCTGCTTCCGTTCTTAAACAGAGCAGCAGGACGATGTCATCACTGACCCCATCAGATGGTCTCTGTCCGTGCTGGGCCGTACTGCGTTCTGCTGGCGGGCCAGGGTACGGGCATCTCCCCCCCCCCCTCCCTATTGCCCACGCTCGATCACAGAAGCGACCCATCGGCCGCTACCTTGCCGTCGCCCACCGCCGGGGGGCTTGCGTGGCCCTGGGAGGCCGAAATCCGGAGCACCCTGCCGCGTCTCGTCCCGAGGGGTTGCGCGGACGTTCGACTCCTGAGCGCCTCGTTGCTCCGGGAGTTGAGCTGCTGCTGGTGGTGGTGGTGGTTGGAGCCGGTGGCGGCGACGCGGTTGTAGATGAGGGGAAGGACGTAGGGCGACGGTGGCGGGTGAGGCTCCACCAGAAAGGTGGTCCGGCCCGTGAGCTTCTGCAGCATCTCTCGTTCCAGCTGGATCGTCGTCACACAACATCGCCACGACATCGTCGACAACTTCAGTTGTTGTCCATTGTCTTGGTCGCCTCCGCACCGCTGCTCCATTGCGACTAGCGTGGTTACTGTTCCCGTGAACTTGGCTCAGTAACTCTACCACACTGGCTGTTTAGTCTCATCTAACTACTCACTCACTAAACCCTTCACTCACCTACCCACTCACTCACCTAACCACTCACTCAGCGCTTCATTCACCGACTCACTCACTCAACCATTCACTCACCTACCCACTCACTCAACTACCCACTCACTCAACCGTTCACTCACCTACCTACTCACTCACGTACCCACTCACTAAACCCTTCACTCATTTAACCACTCACTCACTCGTTTACCCACTCACTCATCTATCCACTCACTCAACCCTTTACTCTCTCATTCCACGGATTTCTACGTATACCCATTGCTCTCGATGTAACACTGCTTTTCCACGAAGCCGCCACAACTCTGCGTTGCCTCCCCTGCGCACCATGCTGGCTGAGAATTAGCGGCCCATTAATCTCCCTCAATTTGATCAACTTTGCACGACTCGGCCACGAGGACCAGGGCGTGAGTTTAAAGTATTAAAAACTATTAAACTATTTTTTTGGATTTTACCAGGTAAGGACCATTGAGCTATATAGCTCTTTTTCAGAAGCGTCCTGGCCACAAATGGTAGTCAGGGGCTTATCGTGTGGAAATGTATTGCGACCAAATACTCTAAATGTATATTGATTCTAAATGTGGAGGGAAAAACCGGAGGACACTGAGAAAAATCCACACGACCACAGGGAGAGAGAGAGAGACACGCAAACTCCAAATATACAGCAAACAGTCAGGGTTGGGATTGAACCCACGGCCTCCTGCGTACCAGGCAAGGGAGTTAACATCTCCAAGCCACCGTGGCGACCCCATTAACACCTGGACGATGATCGATAGGCATAGTTGGGCCGTCGCTTGGGTCGGCTCACCTGGTTGAGTCGCGTGGGACAGGGCAGGCTGACCGCGGTGCGAAGCGGCTGCTGTCGCTGGGGCCGTGAGCTCCGTTCGGGCGCCGTCAGAGGACGGCTCGACTCCTCGGCCTGGCACCGCCATAAACCGACAAACGCGTTCGCGGACGCCTCTGCGGCGCGACCAGTTGCGGTCGGCCGCACGCAACCGGTTGTGGTCGAATGCATGCAACCGGTTGCGCACAGTGGAGACGAACTCCGCGTTCAAGAATCGCATCGATCCGCTCGGCAGAGATCCGTAGCGGCGCATTTTGTCGCCGGGTGACAACATTTTTTCCAACACTGATTGGCCAATTACATTCTATTCGAGCCCCTATTTACAACCTTCCATCGACTGTCGGTGTTGTTGTTGTCCTGGCTTTGACCGCACGCTCGCGCGGGCCCCTGTTCAGAATCCCCTGAAGCTTGGCCGTCTCTCAAGAGGCCATCGCTGGACCAAGTGGGCCTCGCCGACCGCTCCCACAATTCACGAGCGACTCTCGTTTCATCTCGCCTCTCATGCCGCCCCCCACTCCTGCGTCCCCCCCCCCCTCCACCCCCCATTATGACAAAGCAAAACTTTAGATTGCCGCATCATGGTATGGTGAATTCATGGCATTCTGCCCCCGGGCCTTCAGTAACTTTTGGGCGGCCCTGACCGCGAGTGTACTCTTAATGCCCCCTTCTGCCTTTGCCTCGTAAGTGCGGTAATTGGCGTGAGCCGGTGGAGGAGTGGGGGTAGGGGTGGGGGCGAGGTTATCAGGCGTTTTAACAATCCTGTTGACCTCTCTCCGACCCCATTTAGGTCACGGCTCAATGCGACACTAGTGCAAAATAACAGCCACTGAAGTGGGATTTTACCCTCCAACGCCCTACTTGTCGCTGGCACTTGAAGCAAACCTGAAATGTGAACCTGTGGGTACAATTTTTCGATTTGAAGCTTTCGTGACTGCAAGGATTCATCTTCTTTGGTTCTTTCGGTAAAGTCACGTAGAATGAGAATAAAATAATAAAATAACACAATAAAATTCTCACGACGTAAAAATTCTCACGACGTATTGTGTTATTTTCTCACGACGTGAGAATTTTATTGTGTTATTTTATTATTTTATTCTCATTCTACGTGACTTTACTGTGGGTAATATTTTATTTAGTAATTTTTATCTTGGGCCTATGAAGCCTGCCAGACATAAAACCGTACTGTCAAACTTCACAGCCCCTTTTTCATCCACTGCTGGATGAAAGCCTCCTGCCCATGCCGCGTCCATCCGCACAGTTGGTGGCAGCGCTCTCCCAACCGCGGCGCCACATAGAGTGGCGTTCGCCGTCGCATGGCAAGTCACAACTAACGCCTTTAACATCATACAGTTTTAGTGCATAACCAAATTTAACGTCACGGGGTTTGTATGTGTGTGTATGCAGTCATTGTGACCGTGTAAAGAGACCCGTCAACTCACTACGCCTGAGAACCCAACGTAATCATCACCCACAGGTCTGGTGCGCGTCTATGGATCTCTGCGCCAGCCCGTGGCTTTCTCACAGACGGCTGCAACTGAAACCCGAATCATTCCAAACCCGGGCTCCCAGCGGTGCCAGTTCACCCGCCCTGCCACGCTAAGCCACCTGGGTACCCACGTGGGGGTGGCGCAGTGCGCGGCGTGGGGGGAGAGGGTGGGGGGTGGAGGGGGGTGGAGGGGCACCTCTGCGGAGCTGGTGGCCGCTGGCGAGTCTGGAGAAGCGCCGTTGCTCGTCCCTCCGCTCCGAGGCCCCGTCCTGCGCTCAGGCGGAGGGTGCGGCTGGAGGATTTGCAGGGCGTCTCTCTCCGCCTGCTGCCCGCGAGCCGTCTGCATCGCACGCACGCACCCGCAGAGGCCGGAGGCCAGGGCTCCCGTTTGGCACCGCGAGGGTGGTTCACGCGAGAGCCAGGTGCACACCTTTAGCCGTCGGTTGCGCAACTTGGTTGAATGCAAGGTAGTTAGTTGTCTCATTGTGTTGGCCATGCACACAATTATCGTTATCATTCATAGAACGTCGAAAGGCAAACGCATCTCGATATGCTGTTCGTCCGTGTCTCTCTTTGCATTGCAGTCATGTTGCGGCAGTGAGCGGCTCGCATTCACAGATAGTCACGAGTCTAAATCCTGATTGGGGGAGGGTTTTGACTCGGCACATCATCTTCTCCCTCCAGCGGCCGATACAAATGAGCACCACTTCGCGGGGGAAGCCAACAGACGTATGGAATGTGCCCACTATTGTCCCAGGGCTGTAAACGGGCGGTGAACTCCACCTCGACGCTCAGGAAATCGCGATGGCTTTTGTCGAGATCGGCGCATCACTGCCCGATATGCCAAAGGGGGATCACAAACGCGAGCAATGGCAGGGGGGAAATGGGCAACAACAACAACAACAAAACACAAATCTGAGAAGCGTGCAAAGAAGCGTGGAGATGTGCACGTTTGTAACGTGCAAGATATATTGAGACCTTCTCTGGTTATTGTTGCTGCTGTTGGTGTTGTTATGTGGTGCGTTTGTTTCATCGCAGACGCACCCACGACGGAGGCACCGCCCCGCGGCTGTACTCGACACACCCCACCTGTATCCTCCGAATCCTCTTCAGCTTGGAAATCTCCTCCAGCTTCCGTCGGATGGCCGCCTGCCTGTAATGCTGTGTGGCCGACGGTGGGGTGGCAGGGGGGGGCAGGCGAACAAATACAAACGAGACGGTTGAAACGAGACTCAAACAAAACAAAAACAAATAATTCTGAAATCAAATCGTTACATTTCGTGGGTCGTGTTATGGAACGGCCCGAGGAAGTAGATCACACACAACTACTTCGGAGATCCGTGTGTCTATGTTTGTGTGTGGTGGGGGTGGTTAAAGCGCAGCTAGTTGGCACAGTGGGGGAGCACCGGTGGTGCATCTGCCAGTCATCTCAGTCAACCCGTGGCACCTGGGTCTCACCCGTGACGCCCCGCCAGCAAGACTTCGACACTTTCACGTTGCTTCGAAGTGTACCTAGCCTGGCACAAGCACCGTAGTGACGTCATCGCCACCTCGTGGCGAACGTCGGTTGTTGTTCAGTGTGGGGAGCGGCAGTGGAGTGATGAGCGCAAGGACGCTACGAACCCGACCACCCGAGTTCGAGTCACGCTCACCGCCAACACCAGTGATGATTATTTGAACCAGTCACGGACCTCCCCTAGGTCGATTCGGCCTAAACATCGCCACTTGGGAGACAAAAGCGCCCGGGCATGGTGCTGACCACCCAACTCTTCGTCCCGCCGTGCCGGCCTCCGTGGGTGCTACTCGCTAACAGCGCTTGTCCCCAAACACTCCCTGACGGCTATACGGGGTTGAGGGGGGGGGGGTCTTTGTCTATGTGAAGTCGTGTGCAGCTTGCATGCGTCGAGTCCGACCTCCATGTGCAGGGCCTTGTCCAGGATGGCCTGAGCCAGCACCTCCCTCACGCGCTCCTGGTGCTCCTTGCGCGCCACCTGCAACTTGTAGGCCCTCTCCGACACCAGCTCCCCGCTGCGCTTGATCTGGCGCACCCCACGCCGCACATCACACGCCACACAATCGATGTGACAATTATAATTGACCTCTCTGTCTATCTATCTGGGAGGGCCACGCGCTTCGAGTCGTATGAGTGTTTTTCAGGAGGGCTCTGCTGCAACGTTGCGTTTGCATGTTCACAGCCACTCAATGACGCGTTGTGTGTTGTCGTTATTATGTTTCTTCACGTGCGAGGAGGACATCGTAGCACCCCCGTAGAAAACCGCAAGCCTCGCGCGAGGGAGCAACGCTCTATCCCCGTACAGATAGAAACAGATGGCAGTTTAACACTCAGTAGGCTTTCGCGACCAATATCCATAATAGAGGTTTTTGGGTTAGATCGCGTAAATCTATAAATGTGTCGTTAAAACCCGCCACCAGCCGATACAGCCAACGAGATTATGGCTGTCGCTTGATGAAGCTAGTTGTAATTACTGGCGAAACGTCGTAATCAGATTGTAAACGTTGTGGCTTGGCTCTCCAACACACCAGTGTGCTGTACTAGTGAAATAGATGGCAATTAATCCACTTGCTGTACCGCCTCCTACCTGGCGAACCAGGGCTACCGACACCTCATCGACGGCCCAAACTGGAAAGACATTTCACAACATCTGTGTGCGCAGTGATCCACCAACCCCAGCTGCCACCTCCACAATTGCTGGAGGGTTACAGGCAGCCACGTGCAGCGGCATAGCCACCATCACCACCACCACCACGGCGACGGTTCACTCCCACGGGAAATTCGCCGACCCTTGCTGACTGCCGTAGCGGGCAGCAGTGGGGAAGTCACGTGATTCGCGCGGCTTCTCATCCCCTGGTATCACTGCCTTTTCTCTCTCTGTGTCTGCCGCTCGTCAACTCACCAGTCCGACCATGCGCAGGTGACGTCTCATGCGGGAGCTGCTGAAGTAGGCGGCCAGGTGTTTGTCCTCGAGGCTGTTGTACGCGGCCAGGGGCCTTGAGGGTGGTGAATGCAGAGACGATGGGTCAGAGGATCAGGGAGCAGTCGTGTAATTTTTATGGGTTTAGATACGAAAAGTAAAAAAAAAATCGTTTCGTGTTCCCAAAATCAGTTTGACTGAAATGTTATCAACATTGCTCTGTAGTCGCGCGGTTGGGAACGTTCATCGCCCCGAGTGTGGATAGGGCGGAAACAAACTCACGGGTGGCTACGTATGGTGCGAAAGAAGTTCAACATACATACATACATAGCACGTCAATAACATTGTGACCTTAAAAAATATTTATTCACGTTCCATAGTTTCCTTTATTGTAGTGGTGAATAAACTAGCAGCGTGTGACCGTCCCTCCCTCTCTCCCTCCCGCCAGCCAGCAAAACATTATTTCTAACGTAGTATAATTGCAATTGTGCAAATTGTGTAAATCCTCGTCACTCACCAACGGTTTCATATTGCTTCACGGACAACTAATTAGGCCAAATGCTTCCACGTCGTTTTACTTCCATTCATTACCTCTGGTGTTGAATATGTCATGACAAACTCTATTGTAGCCTACTACTCTATTGTGTATCTAATTACGACCCCTGTCAAGTGCCTTCATCCTCCATTGTGTACGTCATGTTTTCTATTGTGTACCTAATTACGTAGGCTATTGTGTGCCCCCTTATTGTGTATCTAAATGAGATAATTCAGCGACAATGTTTGGCTGATAGCAAGAGTTCACCCTTTAGAAAGAGGCTTACAGTCTTGGTGCGTTCTCACCTCGCAAGGTAAACCTCGCCAATGCCATATTACATCCGTTATGACCATCGTGGTGAAGTATAGTCAAACAGCCCCCCACCCCCCCACCATGACCGACACGTGTGAGGAGGCCTTGATCCAGCAGTGGGATTGATAGAGGACTCTAAGTTGTAGTACATCGGAGTCAATAATAATGTATCCTATAACAATATTATTGTTAGTTATATCAATCAGGCGAGAAACCAATGACATTGAAATTATAATTTTAAAAGGCAGAATTTTGTTCAAAACGAGAACAGACAATGTTGCAGTGCGAAGTTGCCGCACGTGCTAATGACGACAAAGATAGAAAATATGCCGATTCGGAAATATTCGGAAACAAAAGCAAGCACGAGATCTTAGACGTCAGAGACACAGAAACTAAAGGTGTACTTGAACGTAAATATTACCGGTCACACAAGCGGTGTATCGAATAAGAGTTCAGCAAAAATATTTTACGTGCATGAAAAAAACCCACAATGAATATTGCACGCGGTTACAACTCGTTAGATAGAAAGCTAATTAAAGTGACCTTAGAAGGCCTGGGAGGCTTGACCTTCACGCGTGACCTTATCCGTGTTTCGAGTACTCGACCCCAGATAATCAAACCTTCACCAACTCATCATCAAGGGTTTGGTGGCGGCCTCGGCAGCAGACGGCCGCCCTCTGAGTCCTCTTCTCGCAGGGGCCCTGGGCTCAATTCCACTCGCAGCTGAGCGCTCACGACGGAACAGCGCGCAGTGTGGGCCACGCAGCCATTAGTGCGCTGACCTTTTGCGCGTCGCGATCAATTTGCATCTTTGACCTCTGTTGATTGCGCCGAGCTGAGTCCAATTATTTTTTTGTCTTTGTTTGTTTGCGTTTTTTTTTATAATGCTGGCCGCTCTGTTTCCTGAACATTGCATATATTTTCAAGGGCGCGACTGTGGCCAGATGTTAAATAGCTCGCCTGGTATACAGGAGGTCGTGAGTTCGATCCTGACATATGTGTATTTAGAGTTTGCGTTTCTCTCCCCGTGGTCTCGTGGATTTTTCCCCGGGTCCTCGACTTTTTCACTCCACATGTAGAATCAACATCACGCGTTTAGAGTATTTGGCAGCTGTACATTTCCACAAGACAAGCCACTTCGTTGAGCAATCTTTTGTGGCAGCCACGTCGCTTCTGAAAAAGAGCTATGTAGCTCAGTGGGCCATGCCTGGTAAAATAAAATAAAACATTGTTTATTTTAGTTTAGATTTTCGTGACGCATCTTTTCCATGTGTGTGTTTTAGGACACGTTATGTCAACCGTGCATTACTTACCTTTGTGTTTTACAACAGCATTGGTAATTGAATACGATTCTAAACAGAGGTTGGTACATCTATAACACGTAGGCTTTCGCGACCAATACTATGATTCATAACATGGTGAGGGGGGGGGGGTTATGACAGACAAGTTACTGACGCGATCTGACCTAAAAAGCAATTATAAATCGCCATTCACCAGGGCCTGAGTGTGGGAGATATTTACCAGGCCTTGTGTGCATAAAATAAAATAAAACTAAACTATTTTTTATTGTACCAGGTAAGGCCCACTGAGCTGTATAGCTCTCTTTCAGACGCGACCTGGCTGCCACAAATGATAGCCCAACGAAGTGGCTTATCACGTAGAACATGTATATCAGCCGAATACTCCAAACATATGTTGATTCTAAATGTGGAGGGAAAACCCGGAGGACCCGGAGAAAAATCCACGCGACCAGAACATGCAAAATAAAACATATATAGGCGTCAGGGTCAGGAACAGGATCGAACCCACGACCTCCTGTATACCAGGCGAGGTAGTTAATATCTCGCCACCGCGGATATTGACGTGTCTCTGTCACGATGCTCGTGTATTCACTTGAGCTGAGTGGGGGTTTCTTCACGATGTGCGGATGAGGCTTGTGTGTCAACAGCATCGCACTCGCGATCATCATCGTTGTCGTCGTCGTCGCAATTACCGTGAACTGCCAATTAGCGAGCGCGTGGTCAGCTCACCTCGTAAATGCGATAATTAAGTGACTGTAGGTTTCCTCCCAGGGACATGAATCCTGCGGTACGGAGCAACCAATGCTGTAGCTAGGAAAGTGTGCGTTTGGCAATTAAAAATCCCTTACATCTCATCTCAACCATTCCTATTCTTATTCTGTAGCCTAGCCAAGGGGACCTCCCTGGTGGCAGCTGCGCCTGTGCGGCACGGGGCGAACATGGCACGGGGCGAACATGGCACGGGTTGAACACGGAACGGGTCGAACACGGCACACGTTGAACACAGCACACGTTGAACACGGCACGGGGCGAACATGGCACAGGTTGAACACGGCACGGGTTGAACACGGGACGGGGCGAACACGGCACGGGGCCAACAAGGCACGGGTTGAATACGGCACGGGGCGAACACGGCACGGGTTGAACACAGCCCGGGGCCAACAAGGCACGGGTTGAACACGGCACGGGGCGAACACGGCACGGGACCAACACGGCACGGGTCCAACACGGCACGGGATGAACATGGCACGGAGCGAACACGGCACGGGGGGGGGGGGGCTGTACATGGGCTAAGGTCCGCACGGAGACCCCTGCACGCCGGTGCTTGCTGCCGAAGCGGTAAAACATGAGCACCTTTATTTCTTCACGTGGCACCTTTATTAATTGGCTGTGCCGGGTGGAGGAGGGGTTTACAACACATGTTTTACTTACGCATCGACCTGACCCAAAACAGAATAAATAATGAATCACAGCAATTATCATTATAATGGTCACAGCGGTCCCCTCGACCCAGCCAGCGTGCGTGTCTTGCAGTGGCACACAGTGTTATGTTAGGCGCGTCGTATTTTGATGTTTTTTTAATTTCTAAATTAGCGCGTTCGTGTTCTTAGGCGAGCGCGACCTTTCGTGGAGCGCGCGGCTCCGCTGTTGCAACGGCCCTGAACGTCTAAACACAAACACGGAGAGGAGGAAGCGAACGGCTCTTTCGTTAGCGCTCCGCGTTGAACCTCACTCGCCGCTGACGCCCTCCAACTACAACCGCACACCGACCGGCGGCCGCCCGGAGGAGCTAAGCCGTGTTCCACATTCCATGCTCGTTTCTTTGTTTTATTTTACCAGGTAAGCCCCCCCCCCCACCCCCCCCCCCCCCGAGCTACTACGTAGCTCTTTTTCAGCAGCGACCTGGCCACACATGATAGCTCAACGAAGTGGCTTATCGCGTGTAAATCTATAGCAGTTGCCCGATACTCTCAACGCACGTTCCTAAACGTGGAGGGGGAAAAAAAACGGAGGGCCTGGAGAAAAATCCACGCGACCACGGGGAGAGAGAGAGAGAGAGACGCGCAAACTCCACATATACAGCAGCAGCAGCAGCAGGCGTCGCCTGCGAAGTCTCTCCACCGTGCGGCGGGGGAGGTTGCGTCGGCAACGTTGAGGAGCTCACGCCTGAGGCTGCCGAGCGAGCGAGTTGACGACGGATGGCTTCGAGAGTCAGCCTCGCGGCGAGCGGCAGAAACGCTGCTGGCGAACGATCAATGAGAGCAGTGGTGTTACTCGGTTGTCCCTGGTCAGAGACAAGAGACTCACGCGGAGATCCATAGGCTGCCATAGAATCCCCACAGACTCGTAGCGATATCCACGGAGAGGCAGGCACAGCTGGAGGTTGGTCAAAGTGATGAGCCACGATATGAAGGACTGCGGAGAGGATGTGTAGACGGTGGTCTGGGACAGCAGGGGGGGGGGGGGGTACACCCCACATCAGCGGGGAATGATGCCAAGAGTGAGAAGTGAATTCCGTGGCAAATGGAGTTTAACGCGATGCTTTGTTTGTGTAGTCACTGGTGACCTGGCCGAGGGGCCATCGACTCACTACGCTTGAGAACGCTGTCTAATTGTGGGTAAACGAACCCCGTGTTTGAATCCAACATCTCAGGCGTGCTGGCTAAGTGCTGTGGCCTCGGATCCACGCAGTCAGCCACCGGTAAAATTTTCATTTCTACGCGACCCTTTTTGCCGGAAGCAAAACGATGAAAAATAAATCGGTTTAAGACATCCCGGCAACATATTTTTTTATTTTTATTGTTTTATTGTTTCCCTTCTACGTGACTTTACTGAAAGAACCAAGAATACGAATCCCTGCAGTCACGAAAGCTTTAAATCAAAACTACAAGAGGTGTTAAGGAAGGTCAAACACCAAATAGACAACAC